AATTTTCAAATTAAAAATCGATTTCCGCACAATGTGTCCTCTTACAACCAAGTAAAACGCGGCAAGGGCGTGGTCAATGACCGCATTTGTCTTTGAGAACGTTTCTTGGTTTAATGGTTTGAATGCTTTTTTTATGTGCATTAACATCTAAATGAAATAAAACACGAGTTTCAATTAAATCGAAGGACATAAATGGACGTAAAATATTGACAATTACCACACCAGATATTTATCAGATCGAACGAATTCTAACAATTATGTTTTTTATGGTTTGGCCGTTAGGAATCAATCATTTGATATGAAATGTATTGAATTGAATAGAAAAATCTTCATGAACATCAACATTGTTAAAGAAATCAAATCCAGTATTGTAAATGGGTTGTGATCATATTAATTTAGTCGTTTGGGCTGGCCCCCTGCTGTTTTTACGAACAATCCAAAATGGCTTTGTTCAGACATCTTTTCATATGGCGCCGAGCTGTCTGATGGGAACGAAGACTACGGAAATGCCGTCTCTTGTTGTTTGTTATTTTCTGTAAATAAACGTTTACTACGTTTACTCTTTTTAAGAAAAAGCAGCTTTATGATAATTGTCAAAATGGCTCTGATAGTTCAAATAATTAACGATAATTGACAAATCTTGCCATAGCACAAGTCTAATGAACCTTTTAAAAGACTTCCATCTTTGTGTTTCTTCATTTCTCGTTTTCATTTCAATCTGAGTCAAATCATATTTAAACGATAATCCTACATGATGTTTTTATGACTAAATTAATGTATTCAGTTCTAAGAGTATGAATGAACTGTAGTGTGATACGTTTACAACCCTACACAAAGCATCCGATTTTTTTTTKRWTTTTTTTTTAAATGTTAATTCTCTATTTTCCCCATATTTCCTCTACTGAAGTAARGTCTCTTCCTTCCGGCCTTCTTGATGTTTGTGTCTTCTACCAATAATCTAACTAGCCGAATTTTGTCATATATTCGGAAGATAAAAGCCTGTACATTGAAGATTCGCATTGTACACAGCATTATACATAAATACTCATCCTTTCTGACCACAAAGATGGTCGAGGAAACATGGACACCAAATACACATTACCACAGCACCGACCTCATCCGCCTACTGAGCAGTATACCTGAGCTTAACTTATTCACAATTCGCCAAAAGGTTGAGATTTAAAGAAAGGCAAAACCGCCACGACCATTGCCTTAGGGTGCAGTCAGAATACTCTACGCTAGTCGTGCGTAAAACCATGTATTATCTTTGTTATTTTTCCTTTCTGAAATTTTTAGGAAAAAAAAATAGCACAAGGAAACATGAAAATGCCAGCAACGCAGCAACACAATGACACCGTGAAATCTTTATCCGATTGCTGGAGTATTTTAAACGTTTTTTGGTCGTTCATACTAAAATCTTAGATAACCTACAGTCACTTGTCTAACTCTCTATCTATATATACCGAAACATTCTATAAAAAGTATCAATACAAAGTAACTAGAAAAAACTATAGTGGAAATTATGAATAAAATATACASTTTGTAATTTATATAAATGAAAAAAGGAAAAAAAATCATGCAATGTGTCGATATATTTAAGAAATATAGTATGRCATGCAATKCCATGATTTGGACCGATTTTCGTGGCYTACTGTTTGTCTTAGGGAGAGTATCGCRAGAAAATGACAGCAAATAATTCGAACGGCTGACAAAACSCGCATAAAAGAGTGTTCAGTTTTCGAGTGAAATTKCGAAATTGATTTTAAGTATCAAGAAATATCTTTTCTGTCCCAGTTAAATGTTCTCCAAGATRTGAGACATTACGTCTGTTTTCGCTGCCTAGCTTGMTTTTCTACATTTGCCATAGTTTGGCGGATATTAGTTTGACATAATTTGTACACAATCTGCACTTCTAAACAAATAATGCGGCAAAGGAAAGAACAGTTGAAATACCAAAGAAGAGGAAAATCCTCTCTTTCAACACTTCATGGAGTCATGGTTGATTTTACAAAGCTTAAATTAAAGGAATGCCTTTAGTACTATTCATCAAAACGACTCTTTTCACAATGAATATAATACAATTTGTAGGCATGGTGAGTCTGTGAAATGTTCACTGCACGCCGCTTGGTTTTTTCCCGCCATTTCTCTGAGTGGGTCGTCAATCTTTGATAAGCTAATTTCGGTTGAATATCTGAAAACCCCTTAGGATCACGCAAACTCACAGGGCTTTAAAACAATACTCAAACATCGGTAAATGCACTTCTACAATAACATTTCCTTGTCACTTTAACATGGTCTTCCGTCAAACAAGCGAACAGTTTTTAAAAGTGTATATTTCTTGTGGAGTGGCACACGACTCATTCCTCCCTGGATTGTAAGAACAGCTTTATTAATATATGATTTATGACAGCGTTCTGATTGTTGATTGGCTAACGGTTACACCATATACACAGACAACCATTCAAGGCTGTTCATTCAATTTCACTTACTCGACAGAGCACTCGACTTGACCTTCATCGCATAACAAGAAAGGTACATGGTAAAACTCAGTGATCTTTATGTTTCTGCACATTAGTTCCATTGCATTATGGGGTATTTTTGTCGGTCTATTTGTCCTCAATAGATGATCATTTCCAGTGGCGTTTCTCAAGCGATACCAAKCCACGTTCCCTTRCGATTATCGTGATCTGTCGACAAATATTGAGTAAATTGTACGTCATGTAGGGTTTTTTTTTTAAGTATAATATTCAAGCTAAATTCTCTCGTTTCATCTTCTTTCTARAAATTCCATTTTTTTGTTATCGCGTGGAGTGAACGGTTCAAAAACTTATTACATTGCGGATAGGCAGAGTTAAAATTGCTCGGATTTACATCGTTCAGGCAGTAGTTGATTGATGGAGGTTTGGGCGAAATCAGCGTTATACTTGGCTTTTCCCATAACTGCATGAAGACTGCTACAGACAATTTCCATTGCTATGCTAGCACTTAGTCTTCCTCCCTATAGATTTGCATATTGCACGTAACCTGGTTCARTGCTGAGAGTCAATAATGCACACCTCATAACTAACAGACCTTTTTTAACTTGGTTTTTACTACTGTATCTTGTGTGCCCGTCTTTTCTATTTCTACATATGTCTTGGTTTATCAATATCACGGTCTGCCTAGAGGAACTTGGCTTATATACCTATTAGTATTTTATATTTGTCTCACTCGTACATCGCTCTTTTTGACTGATTTATGTAGCTATTGTAATAGTTTGTTTTTCTTAAGTCTTTCCACTTTTTTATGTCGTACTCAGTTATAAATGTCTGGTAACGTTCTCGAAGTCGTACAGGCTGACATGATTAAATACTGCAGAATGCAGAATAGCTGTCAAAAAAGATGGAAAACTTTTCACTCAGCCTACGCAAAACATCAATTTCTTCTGATAATGTCGCTTTTATACTCTAAGATTAGCGACTAAACCAATGGGAATTGTTGAGGCAATCAAGCCATATGTATCCAATCAGATTCCTTTCTTCACTGCACTCTATGACGTTTTAGACATTCATAGCAAAGCCAAAGGATATTGCATCGTATCAGTGGTGATATCCAGTATTAACGCACAGCCATAATGCAACAACACTTTGACAATGAGATAGTGGTAACAATGAATAAAGATGTTAACGTCATACTTGCTAGCTACAATTKTAGTTCGTAATAGATATGTTTAGTCAAGTAGTTTGCTACTGTTAGCATAAGCTGCCTCCAGGCAAATGATAGGACAAATATACCGCGCTCTATCAAATACACGCCAACAGATGCARTGAATACAATCTTGATAATTGTGAGATAAACACAAGTTTTCAGACCCCCTACTTCAAGTGTAAACTTATCAGTCTTACTTGAAACCACATTCTCGTTCAAGACATTTGTGTTTTAGTATAAATTACAATTTTTCACAGTTTTGAGGCGATTCAATCAAAATTGGTCAATTATTTTTGTACATTTTGCGTAAWTCAAGCTACAAGGCGCGCAAATGACAAACTTTTTCAAACTGGTGCAGTAAAAAGACTGAAATATTTAACTATGAAACCGGGTTTTCAATATTATACCTTTTCGAAAGCATGGTATCTCTAATAAACAGTTGGTGTAYCAACTTTATGGCTTGAGGAACGCCCGCATTAGTAGACGTGTATATACAGCGCTCCATAACCGAACCACATGCAGGGCACGTTTGCGGCAGGATTTCTAAAGTGTTTTCGCATATTTCATCATTGACAGTGAGTTCACACAGCAATTTCTACAGACAGTGAAGTTCATAACTCAAGAAATGCATGTGACGCAGGCTAAGCTCCATTTCGAACAACTGATTTGAAACATGYCTTCACATGCCATCAAATGCTCTATGCTTGTGGTTGATTTTTCTCCTCAGATACAATGATATACATAGCAGACATACTTTGAAGTTGCAGACCTTGGTCTGATATAGTARACATATCCTGACCGACTCATTAGCATTCCTAACTAGTGGATTTTGACCAATTAAAAAGAACTGCGTCATTAATGTGCAGTGGATGCAGTTTGTTAAGCAGGTATGTAGGAATTTTTCTGTTGACGAGYATGSTAGACCCWCGAKAATTTATTTTCATCAAAGCGGTTTTCTCCTGGTTAATTTTGAAATTGCGAAGAAGATCATAACGGATAGACTAGTCATCTGAGAAGAAGCTTCTCTCTTGGATATGCATCGGTTTATTATACCAGTTGATCATTGTTCGATAATAACCAAGTACTTAATTATACAAAACAAAATTGTATTTCTCAATTTAAATTTCACTTTAGTTGAAATGTAATTCTGCGCGGAACGAAACCGGCCGCAGCAGACCCTCACTTGCTATGACTACTGGTTGCGTTTTTTTTCTTATGGTGACAAGCCAATCATGTATTATGTGGAAAGAGCACGTACAGTTTCAAGCATTGTTCTTGCCTCGGTTTTGTGGGCGTAAAGGAGCCGTGGAGTATTGATACAGAGTTGATTAGAGTCGTTTTTATTTCATCGTGAAAAATTAGTGATAATAGTTGGTTTATCCTCTGAATCTATYGTCTTCTTTTGTTTTACACAAAAAATGATTTGTTTTACCAACAAATGATACTTCTCAATAGCAATATCCTCATGCAACGTCAGACTGATGAATACGACTCTTAGCTTGTTATAGTCAACTCTAGCCGATAAAAAGTTATCCCTATTGTGCAAACTGATCTAAAAATGTTTCSGCGATCAAATCTTTTCATCTATAACGATTTTAACTATCACTATTAAGTATTAACTAAAAATAAACCACTGGATATGTCTACCTTCCTTTACATTGTAATTTGAGAGTTAAACACCCATATTTCAGATGGAATGCGTGATAAGAGCTCAGTGATGTAATAATAGACGCAATGCACTTTACCATGTCTCAGCGGTATTGTTTTCATTGCATGCCGCTCTTCTCCAGTTTCGCGCCTTTGAGGCGGGAACATGCAGCTGCAAAACCCACCACAACCTCATCAGCTGACAGGGACACACGCACAATTATTTTGTACAAACTAGTGATCCCGTTAATGTCAATGCGCTTTAAAATATTTTGTAAGAAAACGGAGTTTTTAGAATGTAAAGATGTTGAAATTACCTTAAAGACCTTAAACGGTTAGACAGCATGGGGTAATCACTGAACACGATTTCTAGAAAACTACATTTAGTGCGRCTTTTGTAACGAAATCGGTTCGAAGCTTCTTGTGATAAGGGTTGAAAGCTTTTAGTCTCCAGTTGGAATAGGTGTGTAAAGGATCAGTCTAATTTAAAGTCTAATTTAAAGGACTATGTGCCCAACATTTTGATCCGCTCGCATGGGGAGTTGCCTAAACACGCCGTCTAGATCAAATTTTGATATAACTGTTCACTAACGCTGTGAATGATTTCTTTTGACCAAAATTACATGTAATAAAACTGAAAAAAAAATCTGAATAAGAAGATAATGAAAAATTCATCAACTCCTCCTTGTAATTACAATGAYATTGAATGTGATTGCTTGAGTTTCATTGGCTATTGATTCACATTCATGTCAAGAAGCCAAACATCCCGAAAGGTGTCTACAATCACAGCATGGTATCATTATTTAGTCACCTAGGCCTTGAATGAATTGATAGTAGTGTTGTATAGYCGGCCCACCCAGACTACTAAATGACTGTAAACCAAGGGGAACATCAGGGAGGCAAGGAGAAAGGAGGAGAGTGCACAAGGTATGAGAATCTGCCATAAAGCATGGTGGTGTCTCCATATTATTCTGTGCAGTTATTAAGACTGTAGGTCACGAGAGTACAACGACACGTGTCTCATCATGCATGGTGGCTGACAASATGAAGTACCCTCCTTAACATCGTCTGCTATTGACAACGCCGCATTGGCARAATTCATAACTTTCATTTTAAACTTTATAACTACATTATATTTAGTCTATATAGTGAGTTTGTGTCCTACAAAGACAAATCTGTCTCCACGCAATATTACATTGTTTGTTTTCGGTGGTTAATTTTGACTAACCTCGTGGTCTTTGTACCCATACAATAACCCAAATTGTCACATGAAATCTAATGGTGTAATATCACCAAGTTCCAGTGGTTCTTATTCTCATGGAAATGGCTTGCGATGCTTTCTCTTGTTTTCAAGTATTTTTAGAAGCGATTAAAAAAAATATTACGAAACATTGTCAACAAATGAAAATAGTATCACTGGCAGTATTTTATTATGAATTATGATCAAGCCTAAATTATGATGATGTAGTCCAATTATTATGGTTTAATTAACACCTTTCATAAAAACAGATCCTTTCTTTAAAGTAAGATAATACTAGATGTAAAAAACATGCCTTGGGGACRTGACAAATATTTTGACGTTCATACATTTTGATGTACTTTGAGCTTTAAAAATTCGTTAATTATTCTGTTTCTATGGAGAGATTAGTGATAGTTGTCCTTTACATCATAACAATGGCCATGTTTGTAATATTTTATCAGTGAAGTGAATGGGGTGTTCTGAGGCGTGCATTAGCCAATCAACGAAAAGCTGTAGGCTTTCTCCCCATCTGATTGGTTCAACGAGGTGTTCATTTACGGTGCAAAGCTACGGACCTCAGAACTTCTTGCAGACTGTGCAAGGAAAGTGCTTTTTATTTGGTCATGGCGTAGAGTTATAATTTCTTTCGATGGTTTAAGGTATTTTATAGCTTTTGATATTGTATATTTTGATATTATATCACAGCTTTTTTGGTCACATTTCATCTTCATGTCCGTCGGTGTTATTCATGAAAGGTCTTGTTGTTGGGTTGACGAGGTTCGTTTCGTTTCTTCTGAAATGAACATTAAGCTTTGTAATCTACAACTATGAAGTTATACTCAGGTAGATCTGGCAAAATTTAAACTTTTTGTTTCTTTAATGATATTCCAAAATCCAAAAGGAGCCTTTTTTCCTCTCGTGTTTGTGATAATTCACTAAGGTTTTGGTCAGCCATAGAGCCTTTGTCGGTGTTGGGAGATTTCTGAAAGGCATAAGCGTATGCTGTGTGATGGTTTTCGTATCTTTAATTTATAGCTTAGAGTTTTGAAGAGTTTTTTTGTTGTAAATCTAAGCGACACTAATACAAAATAGCGTCCTAATCCTAGTCATTGTAGGATTTGAATTTTCGCGTTGCGTGTAAAGCGGGGTGAAAAGTTAGCCATCGTTTAATAAAGTCGGCAGGCMGTTGACAAGACAAGAGTGTAGATATTTTGGTGCTTTTCATTGAGATCAACTCAGTATTGCCGTGTGAAAATGGTTGGCCGTTTTTGGTGTTTTTACGTTTTAAGTCTGCGTGAAATACTTCGTGGGTTCAACAAATGAGTGTTGGGCCTAGTAATGAAGGGTCATCGAGTCAAACATTRGCTAAATACAAACTCAAACGCCACTACCGAAGAATATATGCTTTATTTGTCCATTTTATCAACTTAYTTCGACCACATTCAACATTATAACGTTGAAACTTGTTTTCGCTCTCGAGACGGATAAGGTTTACTCTGACAATCGTACGTAGTAAAGCTGGTTCACAGTACGTGGTGACATATGGAATGACATGGGTGAAAAGATGAAAAACATTTCTTTAAGACAACGAAATGCTTTAGAAATATTGCAGAACTACTGACATGGCTTATTGAAATAAAAATTCGAGAAAATACTAAAYATAATAACTTTTATACAATTCACTATTTCTAATGTTATTTCTTTCCTGTCCAGACCTGTAGTCGCACCAATCGTCAACTGACTCCTCGTTCGCGGGAACATTCTAAACCCAACTGTGTCTGTCAACTCTCTTCAAACATGCTCAAGTTTCTAACATCAAAATTCAGGAACCAGTCTTTGAACGAAGTTAGGCCCTATGAACCTCAGGTAGGAAAGTTTCGCTTATAGACTTTGTTGAAATGTGCAACATCAGAGCAAATATCAGTCACTACAACTACAGAATTTTCCAGCTATAAAGGAACCTAATRAGTGTTCTCCTTGCAGCAGGGGTACCTGCACCAAGATACAGAATTAGAAGACAACACAGAGAAATCTGAAGATGAAGATGAAGAGTTACGAAACTTAAATCTTGAAGGTAAAATGTAAATATATATATAATGCAGGTCAAAATAATGGTTGATTAACATTTAAATATATGTGTTTTTTTTTTAACTCCAGGTGCAACTAACCCCCTCCATAACAACAATAACCATGAACAAGAACATACCATTTCAAATTCCAAACCTTTTATGACAAACATCAAGGAAAGTCCATCTCTTGATCAAGAAAATCAGCCACCAACTCTTAATGGAAAGCGAAATATAGAAAGAAATAGTTCATTTTGTCCGATTGACATACCAATCCATGAGGATTGCAGCTTATTAGCTGAGAAACGAAAGTGGGCACAAGTCAATTGTAAGAGGTTACTATATCAAATGGGCTCTGGAACTGACAGTTCCTCTGATGAAGAGATCAAAGAGTTGTGTAGCTCCAACAAGTGTGGATTGCTAAGTTCTAGTCCTCCTGGCAAAGTTACTGTACTATCAAAACATTCAGCATTTAGTGCTCAAATTAGACCTACTGAAGGACATACCAGGAAAAAACACAGAGTTATTATATGCAATGAAAGACCATCCTTAAACTTTGAGAAAATGCAGCAGGTAAGATGGATTGAATTTTTTTTGTAAAGGGCTTCTCTACACTGTTGCATTTTCATAGCTTTGTTGTTTTCTAACAATAGAAAACAATAAAAAAATGCATCAGTATTGATGATACTTAATAATTGTACATTACTACTACAAAATGCTACAGAGGAATTTACTCTCTCTGGTGATGAGTTGGTGCATGTAAGCATGRGAGATAATGACATCGTAAATACTTTCATTGTTTTCACAAAAATGTTTACCAATGAAAATAACTGATTATTCAGCAGAATATTGAATTATTGGGTTTGTCAGTATTTAACACTTGGCTGACCTCCATGAAAGGAGGTGTATAATAAAAGCTGGTGTATAAATTACTTTTGTTGGAAGTTGATTGACAGTTTGCAAACAATTTTCTGCATGACAAAATCCCTAGGTAGAATTTCATGTTGACCTCATTGGCACCTACTGGATATTTTTACTGGAACTGGATCTTTTTTCTCAGCAGTATTTTTTCAATATACCACCATAAAAACACATGGTTGAAGAAAACTTACTAATTAACAATATGTTCACCAAACATACTTGTCAATGAGATTAGATATTGGCTAATGCTGATAGGCCCATTACTGCATACTTATTATTCTATATATTAACCTCTATTTGAGTTCATCCTTTCGTTTTGGAGAGGAAATTGTAATTATTCTGTTGTTAACAGCTGGATTACTTTTAAGAAAATCACTTATATTTAGCACGTTTTCTGCAAGTGTAAACAATGTGTGGGTTTTTTCCCTCATGAAATATCATGTTCACTCATACTTATCAGCTCCAGCTTGCTTCTTTCATTAAGACTTTGGSTATTTATGTAGATCTAATAACAGAAAAAGCAAATAAGAACAAAGTTTGGCTTCACAAAAGAAGACAAGCTTGAGTAGTTTTGAATAGATAATGTACATCTTTGAGATAATTGTTGAAGTTGTATTCAAAGTAAAGGCTCAATTTTTTTGTTCTTATTGTCAATATCTGAAGGTATAAAATGTATTGTGAATTGTAAACAATGGTATAATTAACTTACTGGTCTTAAGAAGACCATATATAAAACCTAACAATATAGCTTTCTTTGTCCAAATCCTATTTTCTGCATAAAAATATTAATGCAACTTCATATTTGTGCACAACCCCACTAGAAAAAGAAGTTTGTTTAAACATCTGATAACCTTTGCATAGYGCTGCCATAGGTTTTATGTTTGATAACAATCTTTCATTGATGAAGTAATCATGCATCAGAGTRTTTTATCAATGCCATCTTGTGAAAAACAACAGGAAAGACAATCATTCCTAACAGTGTAACTTTTAATGGTGCTTGCTGAAGCTGTAGCACTTGTTATGGATATAAGCTAACCTGTTTTCTTTCATGATGTTACCTTATAATTTCATCATTCTTCAGGCCAGCTTTATRTTTCTTATCTGTTTGGGTTTTGTATTTAGGTTATTTTGACTGTAAATTGCTTGTTATTACTCTTRCAGCTTCTTCACATTGACATCATGCTTTTATAAACTATGATAGTTTATGAAATTTCATAGATTRAAGTTCAGGGTTGTACTTGCAGCATTAAGTCATTATTTTCAGATATTAGATATTTTTTGAGATCAAATGTCTATTTTTGACTGATATTCAATGTTTCTCTTAACTTTCTAGTAATAGCTCTGTAAAAGGAGTCAGTCTAGAAAACAGCTATGCAAAATGACAGTCACATTTGATGTCAATCACTAATGACCTTGGATTAAGACTTGAGAACCTAAATCCTGCCAARAAAATAWSGCAAAATTATTATTTGGGTTTTGTCCATGAATCATCAGCACACATCTGAATTCTTTCTTTATTACAGACTCAATTTTTTATGAATGTCTGCTAAAATGTTTTGGAAGTTTCATTCTGAATATTTAATAGTACATTCTGGTGTAAACTAATTAATGTAGAATTTATTAAGCATTCTTGAGTTTTTATCTAAGTAGGGATAAATATCTAATTGTGGTTCATGTGAATAAACTATTTTTCCTCTTTAACCAGAAARCTCTTTCAAAGAAGCATCTTCATAGCTTATCCAGACCAAGGGCCATTCGAATCAGGGTAAGATATTGATTTTCTCTGGAAATTATTAATACTGAGTGTAGGAGTTGAATATTATAAGGTATTGTGAAATGTGATTAACCTACACAGYGCTCCATTATTGGAGTGTACATAAAGATTCCATGAAAACAATAAAATAGGTGTATTTCATCATCATATAGCAAATGTGTGGAAAGTCTACCTTGATCTGTGGACTCTTATTTTCATGCAATATAAGCTTAAGTGAACTTTTATCCAGAACCCTGAGTAGGTGTGTGGTTAACCTCTGTGTAACATACGTCACCCATGATATCCCAGGATTCTAATGAGCACATTATATGAAATTTATATCTAGCTATACTTCTGATATTCTTAAAATACTCTACACTTAGGTTTCTTTTAAATCTCTTTTGATTATATTTTTTTTCAGAATATGTCTCAGGCAAATGGCAGACCAAGTTACAATTATGATCAAGCAGTATTAGTGTTCAAGCCGATTGCCGTTAATCCATCATTCAATCTTGCCCCTGTAGAGGAACCAGGTTTTGCATTTTGAATGAATCTCACTGTGTGTTTATTTGCTTGTATCTTGGGGTAAGCTTATAATCAGACATGGGTGAAGGGGGAAACTCATTTACTTGCACATACTGGGATTATTTGTTTTATTATTGGTCAAACCTGTTTATTGTATGAAACATAGTTTCTTTTGGAAACGTGAGCAACATTTTGATCATTGATATATTTGTTATTAGGTCAAAAATCAATAGATTTGTATTTGGTTTGCTTAAGCAATTTAGTTTTTTTGAGAAAACAATAATATCTGGAGAATCATTGGTTAATAACTTTTTGGTTCTCTAAGGAGTTAATATAGATCTAATRTTGATATCTATAAGAAATGTCTTTGTAAAAGCACATATTGTGTGGAAGCACTAAACTGGGAGCTCTCTAATAGCGATTAGTATATTCTTGAACATTACTAAAAAACAAGTGAATTTTGGATACTTAGTATTTCATTTAAAAAATAGAGTTGAAAGAATCTTGTTTTTTCTTTCATTGGTACAACCCACATAACCAAGGGTGATTTATTTAATAAGTGAAGTATTGTTTCAATATCTATACAGTCTTTATAGGGAAGTCCCAGTCAGTGTTTCTCTTTGCACGAGAAAAGAGAGTGAAATAATGTACATCTTTTAGGGTTAAATGCATACTTCTTGTCTAACTTGTTTAATTGTACACAGACAGACTTTTTTTATATCTTAGAAAAAGAGTGTGTTAATAACTATCAAAGGATAATGAATTGTTGGGCATTTTTTATTCAGCAAACATATTCTAAAACCATATCAGCATCCAGATACTTTTGAGACCATTGTTTTTGTTGCTTTAAGTGTAATCTAGTGATGAGAAGTCTACAATGAAATGAAGCTGGCTTCATTTGGCCTATAGAATAGTGTGGCTGTCAKACAATAGATTTACACTTAAACAAAGTTAGATTTCTGTAGATTTYTGTGAAAATCTTCTATAAATTTTGTAGTATTCATAGCGTATATTCAAAGTATCATTGCATAAATCAATAATTACAACATGCCCTAAAGGTTTTAGAATATTTTTGTTTTTTGAACATATTTTGACCAGACTGGATTGCTTTCGATCTGTGACGTGGTTTAAAAAGTTTGDCTCAGATATGTTATGAAAATAGTTAACTTGTTTGTGATGACTTTACCATGGCGAGAGAAAACAACAAATTTTCCTTTATTTCATTCTAGAGTTGTTACACTTAACTTGTAAATAATTAGTAGACAAGTAGTTGGTAGCACACCTTATTCAAAAATAAGTTTGTAGGTTGGATTTAGATTTTTGTTAATTGTTTCAACTGGAGTAGTATTTTGCCATTAAGTGTAATGACTCTAAGGAGAAAAAGAATCCAATATCTAGATATCATTCATTAATCTAGTGTTGCAACTTCATTCATTGTATTCATGTATTTTAAAGAGTGAATATTGTTCTAACCTTGATAATGTTATAGCACAAAACCTTTCTTTAGAAATGGGTTACCCTATGTTTATTCACTGATATATTACTGTCCAAAATTATTTTAATACTGTCTTCGATTGTTCTCTATAATACTAAGTGTAACCCATTCCTAAAGTACCTACATAGTTTAAACAGAGTAATATTTATCACAGATATTTATATAAGGATTTTGTATATATTTTTTGAGATGGAGTGCATAAGAGTGTCTGGAAAGTAGAGAGATTTTAATAAAATATTTATTGCTTATCTCTCTGGGGATTGACATTCCCTTTTTAGTGTTCCTTATACTGGCAACTAAGAATACTTTTGCCTTTTGTGGAATAAAAGAATGTTTGTATAACCTGGTTGTYATATTGGTTTGAAACGTTTTCACTCAAACACATCCTTTTTTGACATCTCATTTCCAAACATCATTTTGTTTTATTCATTTTTGTAGAGTGATTGTACTTAAAMCATGCAACTGTACAAAATCTAAGTACTAATTTTATACTAAAAGTGGACCTGATGCAAGACTGTATTGAATGCTTCATTTTTATCTATTCAATTTAAGTTGCGTACTGCWTGCACGATTTATTTGTTTGTACAGTTGCATGGTTTAA